GGTACAAGTTTTGTAACAAAAACACAGGAGTGGTTAATCTTACAGTCCAGAAACAAAGGACCCTGGGACCATCAAGGGAGAAGAGCACAAGCGGAAGCAGCGACACCAGAGATGGAGGCAGAGATGGGGGCATGGAGAGGGGGAGCGGCTGAGGACTCTAGATTCATGGACTAAGAAGAGAAGGACTAAGAGCTGGTGGCCAGGAGGCAGACTTGCAGAATGTGCCCTTTGGAGATGTAAATTATTATATATGTCTGAGTGGGTTTTTTTTTTCTTCCCAAAGAGCTAAAGTGATTAGAAACAAATACTGTTACCTGGAAGGGATTATAATCATTGTAATGAAACAAGGTGTATGATTTGTTGAATGTAAAACTGGTGATCTGCCCTGTACACTTTTACTCAATCCACAGTAAAAACTTTAAGAAAAAGACAAGACACTGAGTAGAACGGTGGCTTTGCATGTCTAAATGTTAGCGCAGATTTCTTGGAAAAGAATTCTGACACCCATTGGGGGTAGGGGTGGGGTCACTGTGAGTCAGAATTGACTTATAAACACCACCTCCTATGAAAACCACCTGTATTTTATCTGCAAACATCACCCACCAAACCCACTGCTGCCTCCCCACCTATCAGCACATAGTCCAGGGACACCAGATTCAGAAGGTGGCACGCAGCTTTGTCTAACCCCACCCGACCACCTGACAAGATGCTCACAACCAACAGCTCCACAGTGACTATGAGAAAGTCACTGGAAAAGAACAGCTCCTAAAAGGATGCCATCGTTTGCTTCTTGCTTTGAAAACGGTAACAAAACCAGGCTACGTGAAGACAACAGTGAGCGGATGTGGCTATAGCAGAGTCACAGACACCTCAATGACAGCAGGCTCTGCCAGTGTTCAGAGCGAGTGAGACATCGGCCCAGGACAGCTTGCCTTTTAAGAACAGATCTGAGGACCACGCAGTACTTCATTCTTTGTGCTTGGAGAATCTTTTTATGGGACACAGAGTTCCGGTTTGACTGTCTTTGTTGCTCGGACATGAACCACGCCACTCTGACCTGTAGCTTCTGCGTAGACAGCTTTTACCATTCGAACGGCGATTCTCTGGTACAAATAGGTCTTCATAATGTTTTTCTGGCTGCTTTCAAACCCCTTTTCTTTCTCTGTGGTTTTCAGTGTAAATGATGATGTGCGGAGGCACAGCTGTGTGAGATTCACAGGGATTCTTGGGTCTGCGACTTTATGTCTTTTACTAGTTTTGGAGTTTGGGGCCATTATTTCTTCAAATATTCTTTTCGATTGGAGTTGTCCACGACTTCATTTTGCTCAGATCAACCATCAACATCAACACTTATGGAAGCAGCAGTCAAGAAATCAAATGACACATTGCATTAGGCAAATCTTTAAAGCGTTGAAGAGAAAAGATGTCAGTTTGAGGACTAAGGTGCACCTGACCTGAGCCATTGTATTTTCAATGGGCAGAGAATAAGGAAGACTGTAGAAGAACTGATGTACATGAGTTACGGTGTTGGAGGAGAATATTTAAAAGTACCATGGACTGCCAAAAGAACAAATCAAACTGTGCTGGAAGAAATACAGCCAGAGTGCTCCTTAGAAGCCAGGATGGCCAGACTTCATCTCTCATACTTCCAACATGTTATCAGAAGGGACCAATCCCTGGAGAAGGGTACCATGTTTGGTACAATGGAGGGTCGGAAAAACAGAGGAAGACCCCCAACGAGATGGATTGGTACAGTGATGGGCTCAGGTGTATTAACAGTTGTGAGGTTGGCCCAGGACCGGGCCGTATTTTATTCTGTTGTGTATAGTGTTGC